TCACCTGGAAGTGTAAAGTCATGGATCAGCTTAAAAGGGAGGATGTTGTAGAGCAGACCAGGCCCCTATGATGGGCTGTAGCACCTATGATGATGATGTCTGAATGGAAGGATGTGGTGAAACAGGCCAGGGCCCTACTAATGATCAGCGTTAACAAATTGATCTGTTTATCTATCTCTATTTCTCCCATTTAGCGGCATACTTATTATAATTATTTAATTTGAAATTTTGGATGATGTTTAAGAATGATCAATACATAATTAAGTCTAGATATGGCTATAAATCAAAATTCAGCATGTACTGTAAATCCCTATTCAAAGACCTATTTACACAAAAAATATTTCAATGGTATAAGTGGGTTTTTGAGTCGGTCACAGGAGGTTTTCACCAGGTACATTGATTCTATTATAGAAAACAATAAGATTGTGTCAGTGTGTGAGCCTATGACTGATTCTGTTCAGTGTGGTTACGGTATACATATATAGAAAAGTGAAGTGAGTCGCTGTTATAGATAATACTGAATGTTTAATAGTTTTAAGTCTTTTTAATAAGCAATTATTTTTAAGGTTTCGATGAAAACCTTTAAAATAATTTCCCAGCCAAAACTGAAAGAGTACACTAATAAGCAGATTCAGATCTGTTTACCCTCAAACTCTTAAAATCGTACAATATCATCACAAAATCGTTCAATACTTTTATCTTAATAGTAAAAAAACCACACAGTATTTATAATGTATAAACCTCAAAATCGTACATTGTACGCCAACATCGTAAGAGTAAACAGGTCTGCAGATTACACACTTTTCTGGGTTTTCCTGACCAAAACTAAGATTGTGGTCGACTTATGATCCATTGGGAATAAATTTCCAAGATCCCAATAATGGCAAGTTACCTCAAGTGTGATAAATCAAGCATCAAGTCAAAATGTAAAAAAATAAAACCAAAATTTTTTTTAAATTAGTGGCATGGGTCGACTTATGATCCATTGGGAATGAATTTCCAAGATTCCAATAATGGCAAGTTACCTCAAGATTATTACCCAGTGTGATAAATCAAGCATCAAGTTAAAATATAAAAAAATAAAACCAAAAAATTTTTTTTTTTAAATTAGTGGCATGGGTAATGAAAAATAAATAGAATAAAAAGAACTGGATTTACCTGAAGTAAAATGTTGACCAGTCATTGTCCTGGCATGTCACGATTCCTCCTGCAAATTCATCATAAAAGCAGCTGTGAATTCTGGCAGTGATGGGGATCTTCAAGTGATCTCTGTGAAAACAACAACTTTAACCTGGAAGTAAAATAATACATTTATTAGTAGAAGACAGAAACTTTATTATATTAGAGCGCAAGCTTGCATTAATATGAAGACAATATCCTATGAACACTTTTAACCTGAAAGTTACCATCATAAAAAGTACCAAAAAAATTAATCACACACTTGGTGTAATCATTGCTTTTACACCAGCCATGTTTACATGGGTGTTTCGACAAAAAATTCCTGGTTCTCTAAGGGAAAGTTGAATAGCTTTGTTTATTTAATCTATTAAATAGTTAAAGTCCAACCACTATTGGAATTAGGGAGGTGGTGTTAAATGAACAAAAGAAAACCTTCAAAATGGTCACGTCAAGCTCAGTGCAAGATTTTTACTCCAACTGCACTACAGTAGTGAATCTTTAAAAATTTAAATAAGATTTTTTGTCACAGATCAATGGTAATATAATTCTAACCTGCAAGATGTAACTCTTGATTATTACTACCGGTACTATGATTTTAACCAAAAAAATGTATGCTATAGCGACAGATGAATCTAAATATAAGAAGCAATCCATCTAAATAGCTCTTTTGCATTTTTTAATTATTCCTTTTACAGCAAAAATGCACTCAATATGTCAGAAGGAAATTTAGATTTTTTAGGGATTTTTATCTAATTTTAACTAAATTAGGAATGTGCCTGACTTTACCCTAACCTAATCAGTGAAACTAACCATTCCAATACAGT